AGAGAAATTTCAAATCAAACAAAAACGTAATGTATTATTCGCAGCATTGTATCGAGTCAAAGAATAATTAGACATACTTGAAAAATAGTTGTAATTGAACAAATAACCATTCAAAATGGGCAACAATAGCAGTGAATGTAAAGAAAAAAAATAAAATTAATGCTGGTGCTGACTTTTCGACAGGGTAAAACAAATGTTTAGAATCTCATATCTACCCATTACCAAGTCCAGAGGAACCTTTTAAGAATTTAAACGGTGGAAATTTTTCTGTCTTAGCTGGATCTTTCTGAAGCGTATTCGCAAATACACGTTGAGAAGAATATTCAGAGTTAACAAGTATAAATACACACAAGGGATTGCATAAGTTCAACTGACTTCCTTTTAGGATAAAAGTCATTCCAGCTATATTTCAACAATTTATCGATAATACGCTTGCAGATTGTGATTTTGCAGTTGCTTATCTGGATGATATATCAATTAAAAGTGTATCTAAGGAACAACATATCGGGCATGCAATAAGAGTTTTGGAAAAAAAACGAGAATATAGGTTCAAATCTTTGAGAATAAGTGCAACTTGTTTTTGCATAAAATCAAATATCTAGGACAAATCATTGACAAAAATATTCATCACCCAGATCCGTTGAGGGCAAGTGCAACTAAGGATATGCATCCTCTAACAAACTTTACAAAGGCTGAGAAAAATAGGCAATGAAATATGCCCAATCACGGGATGGATAAATTTTGAACTTTGACCTGAATGTAAGCGTTCTTGTTCCCCACACTAAACTCGACTTTGTGTCACATCTCGTCATTTACCCATTTCCCCCCACATCAATGAGAAAACTGGGTAAATACCAGTCCGTTGGAGTCAATCTAGGAGAATTTCTAATGACGTCACGGAGAATAGCTTAGGCGAGACATATTATAACTGCTAGTAGCAAGTTATATCTGTTAGGTAAGTTGCATTTTTCATATGTAAGTTAATTTTTCTTATCCTTTACAGTAGTTTGAATTTAAAAAAAAAATTACAGTAGGTTGCATATTTCCTATCCTTCAAAGTCGATTGCATTTTCCCTACCTTTTACAGTAGGTTGTTGCAACCATCATTTTTGCATGCATGATAAACTGAGTTATGTCTCAAAGGTCAAATTTAATTCCGTCTCGTCTCGGAATGTTATTTCAGAAATACTTCTTATTTTATGAGGCATTTTCTTTCAGGCTCTCTACAACTTCCTATCATTATCAACTCTTTTTACTATCCCTCCTCCTCCTAGTTCCACCTACTCAGCCATTTACACAAACTCATTAGGTAGATTACTCACTATTTATTCCTACCACCATTGCCTAGCATATGTCCTTTGAGCGTCGAATTCGTCAATCCGTTTTTCAACTATCTCTTTCTCATTCGAAATATAAATCTCCTTTTTTCCCATTTTCCTTAGAACTTCCTCGTTGCTCACATGATCGAACCATGACATTTTCAGCATTTTACTGCAAACGGCATCTGTATTTTCTCACATCTCTTCATCCATGAAGAGTTTAACCAGTTTTCACGGACATATAGAAGATTGAAATTACAGAGCTGTTCAGTATTTGTTTTGTTTTTTTTTCCGAACGGAATGTTCCTGTTTGTTAATACTTCGTTCACCTTTTCTAATGCATCTTTCACTATTCCAGAACAGTGTGAGAATATCGACCGAATTCTCTGCTATATAAACGCCTACATATATAAATTATTTTATGTACTATTATGCGTCTGAATTACGATCATCTCTGACTGGGTGTATTCACAAGCTATCACCTGATGGGATTCTGATCCCCTCCTCTACAAGTGTCGAAATAGAGGTGGACGTACTTCATTTGAGAGAAAGAGAAAGAGAGTGAGAAAATTGGGAAGGAGAGAGAGAGAAGTTGGTGATAGACTTAAATGTAATAGCGTTGATGAAAACCACCAAAGCAAGTCTTTATTTCTGCGTCACATCATTACGTACACCCGCGTGTAATTTGTGACCACAACAGTATCACATACCTTTTTCTACACAGAGTTGCTTTGTAATCCTTCTATCATATTATTCTCGTCTCCATTTCAGCTACTGGCCATATTTCTTATTAGATTATAGAATACCTTTCATATTTTATTATGTCTTTCATCTTAATTGAGGTTACAAAAATAAGACTTTCCCTTTCAAAATGTTTCTGTCATTGATTTCAGAATTCTAACGCCATATAAGACATGCATATGACAATGTTTTGATAGCTGACATAAAAAAAAGAAATTGTAGGAACTCCTACACAAGGCAATTAAAGGAAAACGAGAAGAAAGCACGAAGCATGAATTGTAAAAAGATGAAATGTATATTTGTCAGCGAGGAAGATGCGAGTTACGAAATAGCAAAATCAAACAATTACAAATGGTCAATATTTTAGAAGTGTTTTAATAGAAGACGGAAATTTGACACCGAAATCAGAAGATAATCTCCAAAAATGTCATTAGAAACAAATAAAAGAGTGTTGAACACCTGTCTATATCAATCGTCATAAAGAGTTAATACTGATATACAGATGAAGATGTTGAGCAGAGTTGAGGCAACAGGTATGTGGTTCTACAAAAAATATTCTTAGAATCAGAAAGACTTGATATTTATGGGGCACATAATGAAGAAGAAGGGTTTAAAAAATTTGACACTCACAGGACATATTAGAAACTAGGAAGAAGGAAACATCGGGTAAAATACCCAAAGAATTTCTGTAAATGGCTAACAGAAGAGGTCATAGGTAGGATAGGAAAAATACAATCGTGTCTAAGAGTAAAAAAGGATAGGGGTAAGCCATGACTAACCTCATATGAAGGGACACGAAAAATACAGATATTGCATTGTAATTTAGCGTAATATCACTGTGTCTTTTCTATAAATATTTCCATGGTTAGTATTCTGATGGAATTTCCTCTATGGTGCTTAGAATTTATGAATTTAAGCGCAGTACAAGATTGCCTGTAAGGTAGCATCGTTTTCCAGTTAAAATGTTACCATAAGTTCTATGCTAATTGTTTTTTCTCTCGCCTGTGGAACTATCTTCCGGTTTCTTGCTTCCAAGTCTACCTTGATCTTCAAAAATTTAAATTCCAGTATTTTGTTATCATTCTTTTATTGTTCTCTCCAGTACCGGGCCTATAAAAATGGCCTATTATTTTACTGATAAGCACTTAAAGGACTATCGATTTTTTAACAAATCACCCCTTAAAAAGTTGCTTCTGGTCTCCCTCCGAGGTTAGGATCAATGAAACTTAAACTTCAGTAGCTTCATAATAGATCCGCCAATGATTCTCTCTCATTAATAGTGTTGTTTTGTTTTTTCTGTTTTTTTTTGTTTGTTTGTTTTACACATAGTCTCCCACACTCAGTAACCGATTACTGAGTGTGAGAGAATATAAGAAAGCAACGAAGCGTCTTAGCGGCTTTATTTGCCTTGCTTTGGGGTAAAATGATTAAAAAAATTATTTTAATAATAATCACAATCTGTTACATCACAATCTGTTTTCTTTTCGTAATCCTATATAATTTTCCTTTTGATTTCTTCTGCTTCAATAACTTTTCTTCCCTGATATCTCTTACTCTTCCTAGGATATGAATTTTATTTTTGCCTTAAAGTTTTTATTAAGCTTCTTTGAGCTTTCCTTACCATTTCGTATCACCAATGTCCTTTCTTGACACCACGTTCACTGCCTATGTCCGCAATATTTCCCTTTCCTAAATTTATTAATTCACAATCTTTAATTTTCTCTATCCATACTCCTACTATAGTCCATGACCTGTTTTTCTCAGCTCCGATTTCAAATGGCCTTAGCTCAAATCACACTGAAAACACCTGTTATCGTTCGATCAACGACGTTAAGCTGCCTCAAGCTCACTTACTACTTAAATGGGGGACCGTTTGGAAATACCGGATATTGTAAGCAATCTCCGACAATCTGAAATATGTTTCGCATTAAATGGCCCAGAAATGGTTGATAAGCCTTAAAAAAGAAATGAATCGAATTTCAAACTTTATCTTTTACCTCACTCTCTTACCTCATTTTAACTTCTTAATCCGATTGTTACTCTCACTGATGGCATTTTTATTTCTTTCTCCAGCCTCAAATTATACCGTTTCTTCCTTCAGTTCTTCACCATATTAAAAGAAAATCACTTGCATTTCCAAATTTTACCATTAATATTTTTTGATGATATACAACATCTCTTCATCCAACCCCATCTTTTGTATTTCGTCCTCCATTTAATACTTTACTCCTACCATTTCTCTCAGAGACTGGCCTCTTTATTTCATCCTGCTGCCTAATATTTTACTCATTCTATTCCCCGCCTCTTAAAATTAACTTTCATTTTCTACTCCTACTAATACTCTCGTTTTCAGAACTGTTAACACTTCAACCGACCTCCCGTCTTAGCATGTCACCCTTTTCTCTTCACTCTCTTCTTCCTTTCATTTCCTACTTCTATTCTTACTCTCCTTATATGAGCCCTTTTTCTCTTTCTCCAACCTCACTTTTTAGCATTTCCTCCTGTTTCTATTCACTCACTTTTATTTTCTACTTCTATTCTTACTCTCCTTATATAACCGCCTTTTCTCTTTCTCTCACCTCACTTTTTAGCATCTCCTCCTTTTCTCCCTTTCATTTCCTACTCCTATTCTTACTCTCCTTATATGAGCCCTTTTTCTCTTTCTCCAACCTCACTTTATAGCATTTCCTCCTGTTTCTATTCACTCACTTTTATTTTCTACTCCTATTCTTACTCTCCTTATATAACCGCCTTTTCTCTTTCTCCCACCTCACTTTTTAGCATCTCCTACTTTTTCTCTTTACTCCCTTTCATTTCCTACTCCTATTATTACTCTCTTTACATGATCTTTTTTTTCTCTTTCATTAACATCACTTTTTAGCTTTTCCTCTTCACGCCCTTTTTCCTTTAATTTCCTACCCCTTCTATTACTCTCTTTACATGACCTATTTTTCTTTCCCTCCCATTTCCCTTTTTGCATTTCCTCCTTTTTCTATTCACTATCTTTTCACTTTCATTTCCTACTCATACTATTACCCCCAGTCCTTGAACTTGTTCTCATTCTCCGGCCTCAGTACTCAATCCTATCTTCTTTTCCTCTTCCTCTCATATGTTTTCTTTTTGTTTCCTATTATGTCTCTTATTCTCTTGTAATCTTGTTTTCCACTAGCTTCAGAGCTTTCTCTCTCTCTCCACTTTTTCTCTCTCGCTTTCTCTCTTTTTCTTTCTTACAATCTCTTTGTTGTCTTTTAATTCATGAAAAACATGTAGACGCTTGCCTATCTTATCTTTCGGTTACATCTTCCATTTTTTTTTGTCTTTCATCTGCTTGTATTTTGTGCATTTTCTCTCCTTTCTACTTTTTCCAAGTGTTTTTTTTTTCTCTCCCTATTCCGTTCTATTTCTTTACCTTGCTCTTCTTCCCTAGCATCCAATCTGTCAGATAGCGGTCCGATGTTTCCTCTGACCTTTTCCTATCATCAGTATATTCAGCGTTCCTATCTCCTCCACTTCACCTGTTCTTATTCGCTTTAGCCTCTCATCACTTGCTTCTCCAGCTTATCTTCACCTGTCGCACGTTCGTCTCGGCATTAGACGGAAGCAGACACGTTTACCCAATTACATTGTTATAAATACAAATTATGGATGTTTTTCTTTATATTTGATTTCCCTTCAGCCTTTCTGCAAATTTTATCCTTATTTTACGGTTTCTATCATTGCCCTAATATTTTAATTCGTTCTTTCCAATATTCCGTGTTTCTACAAATTCCTCTTTGTTTTTTTTTTCTGAAAATCTTTTCTATTTTCATCAAAACTCGTCCTTCTCTGCTTAGTGTGCTATTCCTCTTTCTTTTACCGCTAAGTATTTAATTCCGCTTTCTTTTACTGCTAAGTATTCCATTCCTCATTCTAAAACCGCTTAGTATTTCTTTTACAAATACATATTTCATTCCTCATTCTGTTACCGCTTATTATATTCTTTCTTTTTTTTTACCGCTTTGTAATTATATCCTCGTTCATTTACCACTTAGTATTTCATTCCACATTCTTTTACTTCTTAGTATTTAAGTCCTCTTTTTACCGCTTAGTATTTCCTTCCCCATTTTTATCGCTTATTATTTCATTTCTCCTACTTTTACTGTTTAATTCTTCTTTTCTTTTTCTTTTATCGCTTAAAAATCCATTCCACCTCTTATTAGCGCTTAGTATTTAATTCCTCTTTCTTTTACCTCTAAGTATTCCATTCTTCATTCTATTACCGCGTAGTACTTAATTCCTCCTTCTTTTACCGCTTATTTGTTAATTCCTCTTTCTTTTACCGTTTACTCTTTAATTCCACCTTCATTTATTACTTAGTTTTTAATTCCCCTTCATTTACCGCTTGGTCTTTATTTCCTCTTTCTTTTCCCTCTTAGTCTTTAATCCCACCTTCTTTTGCCACTTCTACTTTAATTCCCCCTTCTTTTACCGCTTAGTCTTTAATCCCTCTTTCTTTTACCGCTTAGTCTTTAATTCCTCTTTCTTTTACCACTTAATATTTTATTCCTCCTTCTTTCCCGCTTATCCTTTTATCCCTCCTTCTTTTACCGCTTAGTCTCTATTTCTTCTATCTTTTACCGTTTAGTATTTTATTCCTCGTTCTTTTACTGCTTAGTATTTCGTTCCAGCTTTATTTACCGATTTGTATTCCATTTCTATTTATCTTAATTCTCAGGTTTTACACATTCTTTGTTTTACCTTTCTTTAATTGTTCTGTCAAAATATATATCTCTTAGTATTAACCACAGACATTTAACACATATCCCCCCCGGCATTAATTGGCTTAATGTGACAATGATTTGTTCTTCCTTTTTTGTAATTATTATTATAAACTAAAATATGAAAAGTGAAAATTTGACTAAAATAAGATGGAAAATATTTCATTTTCTTTCGAAATCAAGAAAATACGAACATTTATCAATATGGCCATTGTATAAGAAAAGCATAAAAAGCTTTAATCTAAACTGAATCCAGGTGGATGTGGATCCAAAATTCATAGATTCCGCTATTCATTAGCTTCTCTTACGATCTTTATTCTTTACTCATCGTCTTTCATTTTCTTTGCGATTTATTTCTTAAATATTTCTTCTTTATTTCAGATGTCGTTCTAGTTTTGTCTCCAAGGTTTATTTTCAAATTTAATTAATTTATACATTCTTGATTTTTATTCAGCTTTGATTTACGACATAAAGACCTGCCCTAAAATGTTTTTTTTCTTCTGCAATCTGCTTCTAGTCAAATGTATTACTTGCATTTTATCTTTATCGGCACAGTTTAGATGGAAGTGGTCCAGGAATACACCTATCGAGTCAGTTGCTCATTCTCCGACGCCAAACAAAATGGCCAAAGTTAATAAACCGTCAAGGGCAACAAAAACTTCGCCAAAATCAAGAAAAAAAAACAAACCCATCGGCAAAGCCATCGTGCTATCCGCTTTCTTGTATAATGGCGAATCCTGGATAGTATACTGATGCCATCTCCACTGATTCGAGTTTTTTCATCGGCATTGTTTACTATACCTTTTTACTACTAACACGGAGATTTTAGAGTCAGGTAGCAAGACGAGTGTTGAAGCTATGCAGAAAAAAAATCTCATGTGAGGTGGGCTGACCACACAACAAAGATAACGATCTTCCAATTCTGGCGGATGGGAGGAGTAGGCATATGTACATTCAGTAGAAAACTGAGTGGCAATCTACAGAGCAACACGGGGACACAATCAAACTCCATCATTTAAGAAATCCTAAAGAAGAGTAAAAAAAAAACGAGCAGCTCTGAAAATTCAGATGCTCCTCTGCATAGCAAACATTCTCCTGCAGTCATTGGATGGAAGCATTTTTTAGGTATGGATCTCTGAAAAAACTGAAATCTGCAAAGGACATGAAAAATCGATTCTAGTCTTTGTTCAAGAAGCCAATTGATGATAAAATTATTTGCAGTTGAAAGAATCAGACGATGATGTCAATATTTCAAACGGGATGGGCCTACGAGTTTTAAAATCTGGCTTCTGCTTGTTTTCACTCATTGAGAAAGAGAAAGTATATCACCCCGTTTGTCAAAGTCCGGAATATGACCAAGCAGAAGAAAACAAGATTGTGAGTCACAAATTATGCAAATAAAGACGTTGTGATTACCTAAAAAAATCATCATTTGAAAGCATTACTAGAGACTGAACGCCATACAGTGACATCAGAAGGGTATAACCTAACCACTGTCTGCTCTTCGACAGAGCCACATCTGGAGATCCTCTCTGCCCGCAGGCAGAGAGTTTGACCAGCACACTCCGAAGTAATCCGGAGTGAAATGAACCCAGAAGTATAACATACGAAGATGATTAAAGTCACTTCTGCACATACGTCTGAATATAGTTGTGCCTATATGTGTGTGTTTGTGTACATAAAGAGATGTGTGTGATCTATTTTAACGCAAATACGCACGGGCAAAAATATCTTTCATGTACGCTAGGCGTGTATTTACGATAATACGTATATAATAATACACATAAAATAAATACAAAAACAATAATAATATAATAATGAATTGTAAAACTTTAAAGTTGAGGATTATCTATCATATAAATATATCTATGTTGAAACAAGTAGGAGTGTGTGTGTGTTAGTGTGCGTAAACACGCAGACACACACGCACACACATATATATATTCTGCATATTTTCATGTAAACATGTCTGATTAAACAATTTAGACATATACTGTTTATCTGTTTTGAATAAAATCCTTGCGTAATTATAAATAAGCTTTTTTGTTTCGTAAGTAAAGAAATCAAAAAAGGTACTGTAGTTATATTTATTAATTTTTATTTTTCCCGGCTATTTTCGATATTTTCCAATATCATCAAGGTCTTGATTGCTATGACAAATAATTGTGTATGTCCGAAATAAACAGTTGCTTTTGTGATTAAACCGTTAACAATTCAGGTCATGCGCATAGTTACAAACGCTGATTTTTTTTTTAAAGTTATGTTGTAAAGAGGAAATTTCGTCGTTGAGTTATTTCAATTGTAAATTAATAAAGATAGCTTTAAGAAATTGTAGAGTCTGCTGATTACTTTGTGCAAAGTATAAAGTCATTGTACACTAATATTCTTCTAAATTGTGAATGTGAAGAGGAACGGTTTTGTTGAGCATTAATCACACATGTGTAGAGTAAGCGTGATTGTGGTTTAACCAATATATGTGTTAAATTTTTGTCGGAGATGCAATCACTCAAGGGAAATTTAAATTGATATATAATGTTTTTTTGGAGTAGATTAATTGGTGGGAAGGAGTTATTCTGGATTATTAATTACTGAATTTAGTATAGTATATAATTAATTTGATTTTTTTACTGTGATTTTAGGAATATACATACATACATATATACATATATATATATATATATATATATATATATATATATATATATATATTGTTAACGAGTTTCATGTACGCAGCAATCTTCAAATAGTCCACACTCATTGGGCAATATCTTTATACTGATATATATATATATATATATATATATATATGTTATATATATATATATATATATATATATATATATATATATATATATATATATATATATATATATATATATATATATATATATATATATATATATATTTTAGACAGAAATGAAAATCGTAAATTTAAGAATTTTTAAAACCTAGCAATATTTTCACTTCTATTAATAAACACTTATTGCAAAATAAAAGCCTGAACAGGTTTAATGAATTTATCTCAGAATCGGCATTATGGATATGATCTTTTGTCTCCAGCAGCCTCAGAAGAAGGCAAGAGAACAAAACAAGGATTTATTTATTGTTTTGTAGACTTCACAAAGGCTTGTGCTACTGTATGTCGAACTGCTCTTTGGAAACTTTTGCCAAAATTAGGTGTTCCAGAAAAATGCTCCATATTACTATCTCCTTTAACGAAGGAATGAAACATTTTGTAAGATCAGGAAGTGAGCAATCGGGCATCTTTTTCGTCTTCAAAGTTACAAAGCTAGGTTACGTTCTTGACCCTCTTCTCTTTGCAAATTTTCGTTTCTTCTATACTTTCTCTGACTTAAGTGAAATATTCAATGTTGAATTCAGAACAAGTAACGTTTTAAAGCACAATCGATATTGGTCTGCTAGTACTCGATCTTCTCTTTGCAGATGCTGCTGCTCTGTTAGCACACAGTCTAGAAGACATGCGAATTATCTTTGACAAATTCTCTGAAACAGCGAAAGCCTTTATTTAGTCTCACTGTCAGCATAGAGAAAACTGAATTAATGTACCAGCCAGTACCAAGCAATCCATCTCTCAAAAATCCTTCCGTATACATTTATGGTACGGCATTAAAGACTGTTGAGGCGTTCACATATCTTGGGTCAAAAGTCTCTTCTAATGGAAAAATGGACAGAGAAATTCAATCCAGAATAGCCAAATCCAGCACAGCATCCGGTAAACTTAAGCATAAGTTATAGAATACTAAAGACGTGTCTCTCAGAGTAAAGATCGACATATACAGATTAGCCGTCTTTTCAACCCTTCTCCATCGTGATGAAACTGGGACAATGTACCGCAAGCACATAAATCAACTTGAAACATAATTGTCTGATTATCAGCATTAGTTGAACTATTTATCATCATTGAATGGAATTTGTACGCAAATTTTAAATAAATAAACAGAGTAAAACATCTAGCGATATTTCTTTCGTTTTTAGACACATGTATATTATCGTAATACTCAAATTACTGATTATGCCATTGAGTAAACATAATTACTCATTTATATATATATATATATATATATATATATATATATATATATATATAACATATTTTTGTAGGAAAAACAATATTTTTACAATAAAATTAATCAACTGATGTTTGTCTTATATATTAAATCAAGGGAATGGCCCCAGCCTCTTCAATAGAAAACTTATCGTATATCATAAAATGATTTTCATATGAGAAGCTTAGATTTCAAGTATTCAAATATTAACGCCGAAACAGTAGGGGAACTAATAGAGGCCAAGAGGTTAATGAAGGTCAAATAGTTCATATTAACATGCAAAATAATAACGTAATAATTTATTCAGGTAAGTGGGGTACTCTGTTAATCAAATATAGGTTTCTATGTCGTATATCTGTGGACCAGTTTATTAAAAATAATTATGTTGCGTTTTATTTTTTTGCATAATAAACCCTTACATTATCAAAACAGGACAAAAGCCATGCTCGTCAACATAATGCTTAAAATTTAAAATGGTGACGGTCATAACAGAGAAAGAAAAACACATAAAAATACGAAAATATGTTGAAGAAGACTTTCATAGCGGAAAAAAACTACCTAAAAGACACAGAAAATTGGAAAGGCCTGAAA